GGGGTTGGGAGGAAGATTGGGGTATAGAGAGCCACCAGTTGTCACACAACAAATTCAACTTATGGAAAACCCCATGGGAAGAAATTTCAAAGAGGAAGGATTGGTCAACTATGAGACTGAGAGGAGCTGGGAGAACCCATGGCATTGAAAGCTTATTATTTATTGAGCACCTACTGTGTGCCAGGGACAGTGTGGGCTTTTGAGGGGAACAAAGACTCCAGTAGAGGGAGGGAGGCAGCCTCAGGAGGGTGGAAAGGGCCTCCCAGACAGAGGGAACAGCATGGGCAAAGGCCCTGAGATGGGAGAGGCTTGGCAGGCAGCTGAAGAATGCTGTCCAGGAGGGGGATCTGCAGGGACCTATGATGCAGGCAGAGCCTTACAGGCCAGGGTTGGGCTTCATTCATATTGAGAACACAGGAGATTTTTAGGCGGGGAGTTATTTCATTTTTTTAAATTAAATATTTATTGTTCGGATTATTACAGTTGTTCCTCTTTTTTCCCCCCATAGCTCCCCTCCACCAGGTTCCCACCCCACCCTCTGCCTTTACCGCCCCCCCGCCCCGCTGTCCTCATCCATACGTGTACGACTTTTGTCCAGTCTCTCCCTGCATCCCCACACCCCTTTCCCCCGCAAGAATAGTCAGTCCACTCCCTTTCTATGCCCCTGATTCTTTTTTTTTTAAGGCTTTTATTTATTTATTTTTTGATTAATTAAATCTTTATTGTTCAGATTATTACATTGGTTCCTCTTTTTTCCCCCCATAACTCCCCTCCTCCCAGCTCCCGCCCCACCCTCCGCCCTCACTCCCCACCCACTGTCCTCATCAATAGGTGCACGATTTTTGTCCAGTCTCTTCCCGCATCCCCCTCACTCGTTTCCCCCCCAAGAATAGTCAGTCCACTCCCTTTCAATGCCCCTGATTCTATTATAATCACCAGTTCATTCTGTTCATCAGATTATTCACTTGATTTTCAGATTCACTTGTTGATAGATGTGTATTTGTTGTTCATAATTTGTATCTTTACCTTTTTCTTCTTCCTTTTCTTAAAGGATACCTTTCAGCATTTCATATAATACTGGTTTGGTGGTGATGAACTCCTTTAGATTTTCCTTATCTGTGAAGCTCTTTATCTGACCTTCAATTCTGAATGATAGCTTTGCTGGATAAAGTAATCTTGGTTGTAGGTTCTTGGTATTCATCACTTTGAATATTTCTTGCCACTCCCTTCTGGCCTGCAAAGTTTCTACTGAGAAATCAGCTGACAGTCGTATGGGTACTCTCTTGCAGGTAACTGACTTTCTTTCTCTTGCTGCTTTTAAGAGTCTCTCTTTGTCTTTTGCTCTTGGCATTTTAATTATGATGTGTCTTGGTGTGGTCCTCTTTGGATTCCTTTTGTTTGGGGTCTGCGCTTCCTGGACTTGTAAGTCTATTTCTTTCACCAGGTAGGGGAAGTTTTCTGTCATTATTTCCTCAAATAGGTTTTCAATATCTTGCTCTCTCTCTTCTTCTGGCACCCCTATAATTCGGATGTTGGTACGCTTGAAGCTGTCCCAAAGGATCCTTACACTATCTTCATATTTTTGGATTCTTTTTTCATTTTGCTTTTCTGGTTGGGTGTTTTTTGCTTCTTCGCATTTCAAATCGTTGACTTGATTCTTGCGATCCTCTAGTCTGCTGTTGGGAGTCTGTATAATATTCTTTATTTCAGTCAGTGTCTGCTTAATTTCTAGTTGGTCCTTTATCACAACCTCGAGGGTCTCATTAGATTTCTTGTAGATCTCATTAAGTTTATCGGCGGTTTCTAGAAAGTTCTTGAAAAACCTTAAAAGTGTGGTTTTGAACTCTATATCCAGTAGTTCGCTTTCCTCCATTTCTATCATTTGTGACCTATTTCTTTGTCTCTGCATTTTTTATGCTTCCCTGTGTTGATAGAGTGGCTTTCTGTGCTAGGTGTCTTATAGGGCCCAGTGGCTCAGCCTCCCAAATTACCTGAGGTGGACACACTTGGTGCACCCCTTTGTGGGCTTTGTGCACAGTCTTGTTGTAGTTAAGCCTTGATTGTTGTAGGTATCACTGGGAGGAATTGGCCTCCAGGCCAATTGGCTGTGAGAATCAGTTGTGTCTGCAGTGGAAGAACTTCTGTGCTAGAGACACCCTTATGGGGCAAGACTTGCTTCAGTGGGGCTTTGGTGCTCACTGAGTCTGCTCCCTGAGTGTGTCCCTTATGGATCTGAGGAGTTGTAATCTGAATGGTCCCTCTCTGACCACTGGGTACACTGGCTCTTGGATCTCTAAGGAGGTGCTAATTTAGCCTCTGCCTGAGGCTACCCAGCAGGAGCTATGAAGAGATTCCTCTTCTTTGTTTGGGGTTTGGAGGTGCCCAGATGAGGCCCAGCGGTGAAGCAATGCAAGGTGCTGTGGGGCCTTGGACCTTCTTTTTTTAGAAGTTCTGGGTCTCTCTGACCTAGCAGCAATTTTTTAGGTAATTTTCAGATTGCAAAGGGCTAGGCCTTTCATATGCAAAAGCCTCTGCACACAGCTTGGGTGGGGCAGGGTCTCAGGGGATCAACAGGGCGGAGCAAGCAGCTATGGCTGCTCCCCAGTCCTACCCTAAGAGGCCCCGCATCTCAGTGTCCCAGTAATGGCTGCAAGCACCTCGGAGAGAAAGCCACCCTCAAGTTCTGCCCGATGCCAGACAGTCCAGTTTCTCCCCGTATGAGTCTGGGTCCCCAGAGACTCACCCGGAACTGGAGTTCAGAGCATTTGGGAGCTTGAGACTCCCTCCTGATTGAAAAAGACAACCATGTCCTCAGCTGCCAGCCATTTCCGCGTGCACCTCCGTACCTCTGCACTTTACTTCCGCACCTCCTCTGAGTCTCAGTTTGCTTATCTCTTTCCTTCTAGTTGTAGAATTTCCACTAATCCAGCCTTCCTGTGGTTCTGGATGATGTCCGTTTTGTCTTTTAGTTGTATTTTTGAAGTGGTTGTCAAGTTATTTCATTTTTAACAATGAAATCATTTAGAGCTTGGTTACTAGACTGAAATAGCTTAAAAGAGGCAAGACTGGGAGGTGAGCTAGGAGGTAACCTCAAGGGATTGATGGGCCACAAAGGTCCTGGTGGCTTTAGCATGGGAGGACAGTTTTTTCTGTGAGAAGAATTAAGTGGGAGGGCATAAAAATGGTCAGTGGAGGTTTGATACAGAGTCACTTGGGAAATTCATGGACAGGGTTTGAAAGAACAAGAATGATGACTGATGCCCAGCTGGTGTGGCTCAGAAGTTGACTCATGAACCAACCTGTTCGATTCCCAGTTAAGGCACATGCCCAGGTTGCAGGCTCCATCCCCAGTAGGGGGCGTGCAAGGAGGCAGCTGATCAATGTTTCCTTCTCATTGATGTTTCTATCTCTCCCTTCCTCTCTCTCTAAAAAATCCATAAATGTCTAAAAGAGCCCAGCTGGTGTGGCATGGCTCAGTGGTTTAGCATTGACCTATGAACCAGGAGTTCACGGTTCGATTCCTGGTCAGGGCACATGCCTGGGTTGTGGGCTCGATTCCCAATAGGGGATGTACAGGAGGCAGCTGATCAATAATTCTCTCTCATCATGGATGTTTCTACCTCTTTCTCCCTCTTCCTTCCTCTCTGAAATCAATAAAAACATATTTTTTTAAAAATCCATAGAAACATAAAGAAAAGAAAGAAAAAGAATGGTGCCTGGGACGTGAGGTGAGGATATGGCCACGGGTGAATGAAGGCTGGTCAGGCCCTGCAGTGGGCAGCCCTTGGAGCCGGGAAATTCAGGCCAGAGATGGGCCTTACAGTGTGAAGACATGTCAGAGGGGTCCCCTGAAAGTGAAGGAGGATAGGATGTGAGCACGAGTGGGGCTCTGCCAAAAGGAACTCTCAGAGAGGCTGCCTTCTTCCTTAGGAAGGTAGGGGCCAGGGCCAAAGGTGAGGAAGATCCTTGCCACTAGTGCCCTCCCTGCTGGGGCAGGGTCCCTCAGGATTCTGGGGATCACCAAGAAGCTACCGGAAGGGTCCGGGTCCAGCCATTGCTCCTCTTGCAGGACTGAAAGCCGGCCCTTACCGGGAGCTCCTCCTAGGAATCAAGATGCCGTTCCTTCCAGCCAAAGGGTGTGAAGCTGGCAGAGGAGGGTGCAGGATACTGACCCACAGAAATGCCCCCATCCCTCAGGTCTCCTGGATCCCCCCTCTCCCCACACCCACTGCTGGCATTTGCTCTTCATCAGGCCCACTTCCTCCCTTTTCTTCCTGCTTCAGGTCAGCCCCACCTTCATCTCATCTCAGCAGCTGCTGTTTGCTGCCTCTCACCCCTGAATGCAAAGCAGGTCTTTATGCATCTGCCTGGAGCAGGAAGTCAGGGCTGGGGTGTGGGAGGCATTTGGCCTCATAGATGGTGAGCAGTGCTGGCCCCCTCAGGCCTCAGGCCTTGCTCCAGGCTCTCCCCAGTCTCTGCATTTGCAGTCCCAGGTGAGGTGGCCAGCCCAGAGATCAGATGGCTGCCCCCTCTCTACTCTGCCTTCCTTCCAGGCTCACATAGAAGTGCACTCTGCCTGCTCCCTACACCACCACTGCCCCCGTCCCTGGGCCTCTGATCTTGGAAGGAAGATGAAGGAGATTCAGAGGCCCAGCCCAGCCCCAGTGATGAAGGCCCAAAGAGGGTGGTCAGGAAAAGAAAAGGGGCCCAAGTGCCTCAGGCCTGAGCTCCTTGCGTTCAGGAACGGGCAGCTGTGGAGCACTTACTATGTGCCAGGCCCTGCGAGAAGCCGTGCACAGGCCGAAATCCTCATGTGCTCATTATAATCCGTGGCCAGTGTGACCAGGGCCCTGTCTACAGATTAGAGAGGCCAGGTGGCTTCTCCTTTCTCACCAGAGCCGAGATCCAGGCCTAGATCCATCTGATTGTGGCACAGCCTCTCCCTGTAACCCCTGAGCACCCTGCCACCCTGCCAGACAGGCACTCAATTTGGTTCAGTCAACTTTTGAAGCAAATTACCTTTATTGTTGAAAGTATTACAGATCCCCCTTTCTCCCCATTGACCTCCTCCACCCCACTCCTGCCCCTTCCCCAGGCGAACCAACGTTTATTAAAATGCTGTAGCAAGAGAAGGAAGCCCAGGCAAGCTAGGTGGAGAGGCTGTGAACAGGGTGGAAGTGAGGGAGGTTGTCGAGGATGGGTCAAGGGTGAGCAGGAAAGCAAATGTTACTCCAGAAGATTCTTTCTGAGAAGGGGGGGGGGGGGAATCAAAGGGCTGGGAGGTGTGACTGAGCTCCTCCAGGCCCTCATGGGACTCCTTAGGCCAGGAATAAACTTGAGAAGTACTTTGCCACACGGGAGCAGAAATCCTTAATCGCACTCCAGATGGACTTCACCACGTTGACAAAGGAGGCCCACATTTTTTTCACCCAGGCCAGCACGGCCTGCCAGGTCTTCTGCAGGCGACTTAGCATCTCTCGGAACCCCCTCAGTACCCGTTCACAAAAGCTCTCCCCAGGCTTCTTGGACCCTGTGAGAGAGACTAGTTAGGAAGCCAGCGAAGTGGAATAGGGAAACTGAGACAGATGGTTAAACGACCAAGCCTTTACAGCCATCTAATACTAGCACATTGCAAAATCCTCTCTTCCCTAAGCAGGGACACAAGAGTAAATGGTTTAGAGCAGTGATGGCGAACCTATGACACGCATGTCAGAGGTGACACGCGAACTCATTTTTTTGGTTGATTTTTCTTTGTTAAATGGCATTTAAATATATAAAATAAATATCAAAAATATAAGTCTTTGTTTTACTATGGTTGCAAATATCAAAAAATTTCTATATGTGACATGGCACCAGAGTTAAGTTAGGGTTTTTCAAAATGCTGACAAACCGAGCTCAAAAGGTTCGCCATCACTGGTTTAGAGCATCATCCCATACACCAACACAGGTTGTGGATTCGATTCCCAGTCAGGACACATACCTAGCTTGAATGTTCAATCCCTGTTCAAAGCAAATACAAGAGGCAACCAATTAATGTTTCTCTCTCACATAGATGTTTCTCTCATTCTCTCTCTCTCTCTCTCTCTCTCTCTCTCTCCCCCTTCCTCTCTCTCTAAAATCAATAAACATATCCTCAGGTGAGGATTTAAAAAACAAAAAAGACTAAGAGCCTTATACTTCTCCTCCCAAAACAGGGAGTAAAGAGCTTAAATCACCCCACTCAAAGAGATAGATAGCAGAAATCTAATTAGTGCCAACCACACCCAAGCACAGGTAAGTTAAAGGAACACATCTCATTTTGGCACATCAGCATAAAGCTGATGAAAATTCTATTGAGATCCTTCCCCAAGACCTCCTCTAAACTCCCAGCCTTTACACCCGCAAGACAAAGGACCAGGAGCAAGCCCACACCTTTCTTCCCTTTCAGGCACGCATCGCCTAAACCCTGGGTCCCCAGGAGACTTGCAACCAGAGGAGCAGTGGGCAGCAGCAGCTCATCTGGACTGACCCCCCCCCAAACCTGTCTCCAAGGTCCCCCTTTTCTCTAAGTTAACTGAGCAAAAGCAGCCCTGCTTAGGCTCTCTGCTGGTGCTTCTTCTATCCTAAGCCCTTCCTGGTTTCGCTGTCCCAAATTTAATTAACATCCTCTCAAAATCACCTGGATTTTGGTTGGGCGATCCTTCTGGCTCAGAGTCCCGCTCCGGGCCTGGTTTCTGTCCAGGGCTGACTCTGCTACGGACTCTATTACGCAGTTCCTGCTGTTGTTCCGGAAGTAAGGGAGTAGATTCCTGTGGGGATTGGGCATGTGTAGGGTTCGACCAGGTCCTGACAGAAGCTCACACCCGGAGCTGCCTGCTTTCCTGCCGGCAGTCCACAGACAAAGACTTCTTGCAGAGGTTCAGCTCCCCAACTCCACTTTGTAGCTAAACCATGATGGTCGTACCTGCTTTTTGGCTGACTGGCCTCTGAGGCCGGCACCAGGCCCAGGGCGTTCCTCATTAACGCATGGAGGTGAGGGCAGGGCTTTGGCCACTGTGTGCTGGGGGGGAGGTCAGGAGCTGGTGCCAGCCACCCCTCCACCCCACCCCACCCCACTCAGGGGCTGTGTATGCACATGGCAGCGCCAACATCACAAGCGATTAGGGATGAAGGGGAAGCCCAGAGGGCTGTGACAGGAGCCTCAGACTCACCTGGTTGTTCTCACAGTGAGCAAATATGGTATCAAGCGCGGTCTCATTGATGCTGATCTGAGGAGAGGAGGGTGGGAGGCTGCAGACCTGTTTCTGCCTGCTGTGGTCTGTGGTCCCCACTGTGACCTCCAAGGGAGCCAAAGCTCACCCCAATAACCTGCCCCAGCCAAACTCCTGGGGACTAAGCTTTCGGGGAGAGGGGAGGCCAAAACTCACCTCCAGCTCTTCCAGGCCTATGTTGACCTGTTGGGAAAAAATGACTTTGTTTAAATTCCCCCGGCCTCCCTCACTTTCAGTCTTATCCCCTGTTCTCAGCTCGCCGTCTCCCCATAATGGGTCCAGCCATGTGCCTGGGGACCTGCTCTGTCATCAGTATACCTATGACTTGGACACCTCTCAGGCTCCCTGGGCATTCCTATCCCCCACCTGTGTACTCGCCCGCCACAAAGGTGTGAATTTTGTCCAGTGTAAGGAATGAGCCAACCTGAGGTGGCACCTTCATTATCATCATCGTCATCATCATTGTGAACAACCCCACCCAAATTGTGCAGAGCGCAGGAGTGGGAACCCTGACCCACCTGGTCCTCTTCTTTGGATTTGACTAAATCACAGAATGTGTCTACATCCTTGTGCTGCAAAAAGAGATAGAGTTGGGACAAAGAGATCTGATCCTTCTCCTTCCTGGACCCCAGAAGGGCCAGAACATTCTTAGCCTCCCACAGTAAAACCCAGGCCCCCGCCCACACCCTACCTATACATGGAGAAGTGCTTCTTACCATTTCACTCCTCATTTTCTCAATATTTTCTTGGAATGTCTGTGAAGGTAACGTGACATTGATCTTATATGACTTATCAACTCCCAGACCTGTTGTACACATGCTCACACACTCACACTCACCATGACACACAAGCGTACAAGTATGAACATTGTTCTGGAGTGTGCAGGGCAATCTGGTTCCCAGATACCCAGCCCTCTATGGTACCGGTGAGAGTTGGCTGAGGGAGGAATTGGCAGTGACCATCCCTCTCTGAGGACGGGACAGGCACAGCGGTGCCTACAAATAGCTGCTCTTCCTGACTGCTGACCTTGCAGGCCCACAGCACCCCAGGCCCCTTTTTACCCCTAAACCCTTGGCTCAACCAACGAGGCAGGGAGTACCCCACCAACTTCCTCATGGGTCTCCACCTTATGGCCCCAATCTGGTCACTGAGCCCTGGATCACTTTAGTCCTTAATGATGATTCCATGATCCTTTGGTCATGATCCCAAAGCATCCTGGAGCATCAGCTCAACCTCATGGTTAGGATGCGGGTGGGGCTGGGGGCGATGGTAGGGTGTGGGGAGGTTGGAAGGCACCACAAAAAGGAGGAATAGACACTGTGGCCAATGCCAGTGCTGGGCTGCTGGCCCAGACACCTGAGAGGATTTTTAAGTTCCCAGGAAAGCAATGTCCACCTCCCACCTCCCACCTCCCACCTCCCACCTCCCACCTCCCACCTCCCACCTCCCACCTCCTACCTCCCACCTCCCACCTCGAGGGTATTAAGATATAAAGGATCTACTGGGATTCGTGTTTCTTCTCACCTATAGACCCTCCATTCTCCAGCTCTTCCCACAAATACGTCAGGTCTAATTGTTAAAGTAACACTTTGTCCCATAAGACTCATTGTTTCTCAGTCACACACACACACACACACACACACACACACACACACACACACACCCCTCTTCTCATACTCACAGAGCTGCCCCCATAATTTCTCTCCCGGACATGAGTTTTGGCCCCACAACCAGAAGCTGCTACATGAAGTGAAAGGCTGAGCACAAAATGAAACTGTGGGGCCTTTGTCAAGAATTATTCAGAATTTCAGTTTGGTGCCAGGATAGCATGCAACCAACCAGGCTCAGGGCCATCACGATGAGCATACAGGTCACATTCTCAAGACACCCTGCTTCCAGGGGTCTCCCCATGGCCCAGGGGGATGGAACAGAGCCAGGTGCATGTAGAGATCAGCTAGGGTGGGGTTGCACTGGTGGGAGAGGGGAAAAAACACACAGTGGGAAATGGGATTCCAGGGCCTACTGTCCCCTCATCATTTGCTCTCACTCACCTTGGAGTAGCACATGGTTGCTCAGGGTTCAGGGGGCTGTGGCTTGATGGCGAGGAACAGGTATGAGAAGTGTTTCAGAGGAGCAGCCTCTTCTCCAGAATCCCTTTGGTTGCAGCTCCTTTTAAGGCCCCCACTGAGCCAATCACCTTCTCCCACATCCTTCCAACACAGAGCTAGCAGAGTTCCTGAGGTTTCTGCACCAGAGGAAGTCAGCTGATTTCAGAGCAGCAGACGCGGGCCTGGGGGGTGGGAGAGGTGGGGGAGGGGGACCTGCCCTAGAGAATGAAGTAGGGCTAACTGACAGTGTGGGGTGGGGAGAGGGGATGAGACAAAAACAGAAAGAGAAGGAAGAAAGACAGGAAGAGGGAGGTCTAAGGGTTCTGGGAGGGGAGGGCAGATCCCTAAACTCTGACCATGGCTCCTCCTATCTCTGAACCAGGGAATCTCTGAGACCAGGAATGGGTCTCGTCCTCATCCCCTCATCAGCCTGAGACAGAGAAGGGGCAGAGGGAAAGTGCAGATTTCAAAAGCAGGTTGGAGCATTTCTCAGAGCTTCCAGAATAAAGAGCTTCCCGCTGGGGAGTCAAGGTGCAGGGGAATGTCTGGAATGTCCACCAGGTCCCTCGAACAGAGTGCATCCCAGCTTCAGAGTCCAGAGGTTCGATAGCAGCAACAGGCTCAGGACATGGCAAGACCTGCAAGACCCCTGAGGTGGCTTTGTCACACATAGCCTTGCTCACCTCTCAGCTCTTCCCTAACACCCAACTCTGGGCCAAAGCCCCACACAGCTCAGCACAGCCACTGTCTGCCCTCTGTATTAGGGACCCAGGGCTGCCAGAACAACGCACCACAGACTGGGTGGCTACACAACACAAACTGATTTCCTCACAGTTCTGGAGGCTGGACGTCTAAATCAAGCTGTTGGCAGAGTTGGTTTCTTCCGAAGGGAAGGCTTCTAGGTTTGTAGATGCCGTCTTCATGTTCACAGGGCATTCTCCCTGTATCCATGCCTGGCTACTAACTTACCACTTTTATGAGGACACTGGTTCTATTGGATTAGGACCTACCCTAGTGAACTCATTTAACCTGATTCCCTTCATAAAGACGCTAGTAAGGTGATATTCTGAAGTACTGGGGGTTAGGGCTTCAGCATACGAATTTGTGGAGGGACACAATTCAACCCCTAAGATCCTCAAAGAGAACCTGGCCCCTGAGAGGCCACACATGAGCCCCATGAGGACAGACCTACACATCACACTTCCTTAGTGAAAGTCTCACTTGGGTTAGCTGAACCTCAGCGGACATCTCCCTGTCCCTTAAAAACCCATTCAATTGTCTGAAACCCCCTTTCCACACCTTGGAAGTCCAGATCCTTCCCTGAGCTGTCTTTGAATTCCAGGGTGGGAGAGAAGGGAGCTGCTTCTGCTTCAGGTACAAGTATTACTTCTGGGCTTTGTCTCCAGAAGCCTGGCTCCCTGACCCCTCCTCCCCATAACACTCCACTCCTCCATGACTGTCTCACAAAAGCCACCATCTGAAGACATTTGTGTTTCATTGTGCACTGTACCACTTTTTAAAAAAATGTTTTTATTGATTTTTTTCTTGAGAGACAGGGAGAGGGAAAGAGAGATAGAAATATTGATGAGAGAAATACATCAGGGCTCATTATATAGGGTTTAGGGTGCTTTACCTGTAGAGAGAATCAGATTAGCTGCCTCCTGCACTCCCCCTCCCCTCCCCACACCAGAGATTGAGCCTGCAACCAGGGCATGTGCCCTGACCAAATCGAGAGCCAGCTACCTCTTTTTTTAAAAATATATTTTTATTGATTTCAGAGAGGGAGCGGGAGAAATAGAAACATCAGTGATGAGAGAGAATCTCTGATCAGCTGCCTCCTGCATGTCCCCTACCTGGATCAAGCCTGCAATCCCGGCATGTGTCCTTGACTTGAATCAAACCCAGAACTCTTCAGTCCGCAGGCTGACGCTCTATCCACTGAGCCAAACCAACCTGATAAGCTTTGAAAATATAATTTTTCCCCTCCTTGTACTTTAACAGGATCCTGACAGATCCTCAGATGGCTTAGAGTTCTCAGGTCATGGACAGGTCAAAGATGTGCCTGGCTGTTGTCTTCACACTGGTCTGCTTGCCTTGATAAACAGCAGGCCCTGTCTGTGCTCCCTGGGACTGCAGCCCACAGCCTCACTCTAGGTAGCACTGCGGAGCATGAGGCTGGACAGCAGCCCAAGAAAAAGCCACTGAGTGACTCCAGCCATGGGGGTGACCCCTATCAGCTGTGGCCATCAGCTTGGCTCTGCAGGCGACATGAAAAGTTGGCTCCTGGAGAACATGGCAGAGACACAGAAAAGCCACAAGACAGTCCCATCCCAAGTGAAGATTCAGGGTGAGGGCATGGGATTTGCATTTTTAAGTTCCCAGGGTGATTCTGATGTGGAATGTTCCAGAAGCACAGTTCCAGAGGCACTGATTTAGATCCTGAATTCTGGGGAGAGTGGGAAGTGAATGGGATGGCCCAGGTTTCGCCCACTCATCAGCCAGGAGTGCTGAGCAAGCAGTGACCGCAGGTGAAGAGACTGCTCAGTCTACCGTCTGTGGTCAGCACTGAGCGGACGGGAGCGCGGGAGTTCTCCTTGAGGGAACTGCAGACAGCGGGGTGGAGGCAAAAAGAGGTTTTTAAAGATGGGGAGGGTGTCCTACTGAATGGGACAATTCTGGATTCAGGGTGGTGACCAGCAAGGAGGTCCGGGGGCCAGATTGTGGAAGGTCACCCTTGTGGTCATTGGTGCCACCCAGAACGGGCAGCACCGGTGCCCAGGGGTGGTCTCACGACTGGGTCCCAGTTCCCCACCCATGTGGTGTTGACTGGGACCTGGTGGAAGAAAAACAGGGTGAGACACTTCTGGAAAAGTGGGGTGGGGGGGCGTGCTGGGGCTCAGTCTCCCGATCAGGCCTGTCCTCTAAAGACCCATGCACCTGAGCCGCTGTTGCCAGGCAGGGCTTGGGCTGCAAGGAGTCTGCAGGCTGTGTTCTGAGAAAAGCCAGCCATTCCGGGAAATGCACAGTCCTGGGGGGGCCAAAGCAGGTGCAGCCGGGTTTGGGGGAGGGGGGGCTGAGCACTTCCTGTGTTCGGTCCAGGGCCAGCCTTCGTGTCCCACCCACCCCACCCCTACCCCCAGGGCTTAGCTCCACCCACCTTGCTGGGCCCGTCACCACCCCCGACAGGCCATCACCGCCCCCTACTGTACAGGCCGGTGGTGGGAGAACCGGCCCCGCCGTGGAGCGGCCTGACCCCCTCAGCGGGACGTGATGTCCCCCACCAGCAGGGCCAGAAGGAGCAGCAGGAGGGTCACCGACGACGAAGACGAGGACAACCGCCCGGCGGCCTGGTTGATCTCGCAATGACAATTGCAGGGTTCGGGCTTGAGAGTCGCTTTGGGGGGTCTGGGGTAGCGAGGGCCAGCGCTGGCGGCCGGGCAGTCCAGCCACTGGGGGCCCATGGGCTGCGGGGAGTCCGGATCGGCCTTGACGCTGCCCTTGGGAAAGCGCCAGTAGTGGGCGCCCTTGAAGAAGTAGGTGGCACCTGCAAGGCGGGCGGAGAGCTGCAGGGCTGGTGCCGGCTGCCCCCCGCCCCGCCCCGCCCACCCGAGGACTCCTCGGCACCCCCAGGACGACCTCCAGCCCCAACCCCAGGGCCAGCGGCTGGCCCGCCGGGGCGCGGGCTCTCCTACCGTCGTTGCTGACGGCGACATCGTCGGGGCTGGGAGGCGCCCCCTCCCAGAGACTCAGGTCGCGCGGGTAGCCAGGGTCCGGGCGCGCGGCCGCCTCGTCGTACCGCCAGTAGCGGTGGCCCCGGACCAGGTAGGTCTTCCCGTTCAGCGGCCAAGAGAACGCGGCGTCCACCTCCTCCCCCGTGGGCAGCCCCAGCTCGGCCAGCGGCCGCGCGCCGCCCTCTAGCTGCCGGTCCCGGAACACCCAGAACTGCGGGCCTGCGGGAGGTGGGGGGGGGGGGGAGCCCTCTGAGCAACGGCTCCCACGCCCCGCCCGTCCCCGGGGGCGCCCCACTCACCACTGAAGAGTAGGATTCGGCCGTCTCGGTGCCGGGTGTAGGCAGCCTGGACGACAGTCACCTGGGGGGGCAGCCCCTCCCAGAAGCGGTGGAGCCTGGCAGGCCGGGGGGACACCAGCTGTCCTGAGGGCTGGAGGCGCCAGAACCAGGGGCCTGTGGGAGAAGGGATGGGCCTGGAGCATGAGGTGGCAAGTGGTCTTGTCCCCCAGGGTGTGTGGCTGGGACTTAGTGCTGGGTGGAAGGTCCATCTGGAAATCAAAGGGCCCAGTGGTTCTCAACCTTGGCTGCACATTAGAATCACCTGGGAATCTTTTTAAAATTCTGATTTCTGGGCCTCCTCCTCCGGAAATTCTGTTTCTTTGTTACTAATGTTGTGGCCCCACCCCATAACAAAGAAACAGAATTTTCAGAGGAGGAGGCCCAGAAATCAGGATTTTAAAGAGATTCCCAGGTGATTCTAATGGGCAGCCAAGGTTGAGAACCACTGCTCTAGGGTGACCAGATGGCCCAGGACTTTCCTTCTACCTCCACTCCCATTTTGTTTGTGTTTCAAATACAAGCAAAAGGTTATATAGAAAGTCACACAGGTAGAAGTGAGCCCTGGGATAAGCGAGCCAGCTGAGCTGGGTGGGCTCAGGAGGCAAGTTACAGAGGGAAAAGTAGGGCTTAGGACAGTGATGGTGAACCTTTTGAGCTCGGCGTGTCGGCATTTTGAAAAACCCTAACAACTCTGGTGCCGTGTCACATATAGAAATGTTTTGATATTTGCAACCATAGTAAAACAAAGACATATTTTTTATATTTATTTTATATATTTACATGCCATTTAACAAAGAAAAATCAACCAAAAAAATGAGTTCGCGTGTCATAGGTTCGCCATCACTGGCTTAGGAGAAAAAGCAAGGATATAGCCTGGGGGAGGTAGGGGCAGAGAGGCTCAGGTGAGCTTCAAAGAGTGTGAGCTGGGGAAAGTAAGGGATTGGGGAAGGGCCGTCACTGGTGTGCTCCACAGAGAGCCACTCCCACCCAGCTTGAAAGCCCACATCCTGGGAAACCCCACAGGCCTGGTGGGTCACCCTAAGTGGGTAGGAAACCAACTTTACAGGGCCGGGGAGACCCGGAGTGACTCACCTTTAAAGAAGAAGGTTTCCCCACGGATGTTGGCGATAGCATCAAAATTGCCATCACATCGATCAGGGACAGGAAGGGAGGGGCTGAGGAGGAAAGGAGAGGTGAGGAGAAAGGGGTCAGGGCTCCTCCTCTGTACTTCACCTTGAGGACAGCCCTTTGGGGCAGGGACCCGTACCAAGCCCTCTCACCAAAGAGGACTCCACGGGTAGGAAGCTCACCCAAGATGGCAAAGCTGGAGGAGGACTCACCTGCCTGGGGGCAGGGCAGGGGGCGGGGGAGGAGGAGCCAGGGGTTTCATTGTGGGCTCATCATATGGGGTTTTGGGTCCTTTCCCTGTAGAGAGAGTCAGAGAGACCTGTGTTCCCCGACCCTGCTGCAGAGGCCACATGGGGAGCACCCCACACACAACTCCCTGTACCGTAGAGCTGCTGCAGGCCTTCACGGTCATCCTGGGACAGGCGGTACTTGGTGGGCTCCCCGACAGGACCCTGGTAGAAGGGCCTCATGATGGAGTCAGGCGCAGAGGAGTGGCCCAGGCCCAGTGCGTGGCCAAACTCATGAACTGCCACCGCAAACAGGTCTGTCCCCTCACCATCTGGGGAGGAAGGGAGACTGGGCTGGAGCTGGAGCAGCCAGGAAAGGGGCAGCGAGGAAGCCCCTGGGAGCGGGGCCTGCTGGCAGCCAGGAGCAGCCAGGAGACCCTCAGAGGTACTCACAGCGTCCTCTTCCCAAAAGCCTCCCCGAGCCACCTCATCCTTCCTGCACGAGTTTACTTACTCAGCAAATATTTTTGCTTGGCAGTGCTAGACACCGGGATACTGGGCTCAAATGACCCATAGAACAGGTGAGGGAACGGGCAGGAGGAGTCAGCCTGGCCCAAGGAAGGCCAGCTTACACTGATGGAGGCCTGCCCACAGAAACATGGGGGAGGGGAAGCAGGAGCCCGGGGTGCACACAGTTCTCTCAAGGCAGCCCCAGCCCTTGCAGTTTCCCCCTCCCAGCTCCAACCAGTGGTCTGAGGTCCCCACCCCTCGACACCCTTCCCACTCCCACCCGCGAGGAATGCTGCTCAATCACCTTGGCTTCTGCTCCCAAGACCCTCAGAATCCCACTCCCACCCCCATGGTTCTTCCACCTCCCCTCCTCCCATCTCTGTGGGCCTTCCCCATCTCTCCCTCCCACAGCCTCCACCACTCCCCACCTCCCTGGGGTCCTGGCCTCTCCTCCCCACCACTGCAGCCTTCATCCATCTCCTCAGAACCCGCAGCCTCAGCATGCACTCTCTGACCGCAGTCTGCTGGCCTGGGTGCCCAGCCTCGCTCCCAGCCTCTCTGAGCACGGAGGCCTCTTCCTTGGGGACCCCGCCCAGGCGCCAGGAGCAAGCCTCTTTACGTTCCCAGCTGCTGGCCAGATCTCAGCTCCTCATCCATCCACAAGCTTCCTGCTGGCTCCTGCTAAGCAGGTGAGAGGCCAGAAGAGACAGAAACAGTAAGAGGGGTGAGCTGCCCCCAGGAGGCATAGATTCCCCCCCCCCCCCCGAGGTTGATCTGCTTCCTGGGCATCTCGAACTGGCATCAGCAGTGCTGAACACGGGTGAACTGGACATGGCCTCGGAACTGAGAAGCAATTTTCTCTCAGCTCCTGAAGACCACTAACTGGGAGTCTAAGAGTGAAATGTGTAAGTCATAAGAGGAGCAACAAACACTGCCCTCATTTGCTTCCCACAGAACCTCGACCTCCAACCACATTTACAGGCCAGGAGGCCGAGGCGCTGAGAGGTGAGGTTCCATGACAGCTGAAACCGAGGCCGAGTCCTCTGGCTGTGCTGTCCTGCACTCAGCAGTGACTGCGGATGGTCTGTCCACACTCGTATGTGCTGAGGAGCCCCTAAGTCCTATGTTGCCTGTGGGTTTCTGATTGCTCTGGGTCCTTTTTCTGAGAAACGAGGAAGTTGGGTGGTTTTTTGTTGTTTTTGTTGTTGTTGTCCTACAGGAGGATATTTTTTCCATTGCTTTTCAGAGAGAGTGGAAAGGAGGGAGGGAGGGATGGAAGGATGGAGGAAGAGAGGGAGGGAGGGATGGAGAGGGAGAGAGAGATAGAGAGAGAGAAGGAGAGGGAGAGGGAGAGAAAGAGAGAGAGAGAGAAACATCGATGTCCATCAGCTGGTTGCCTCCCCCATTTGCCCTACTGGGTGAACCCCGAAACCTAGGTATGTCCCCTTGACTGGGAATCCATGCTTGAACTAACACTCTAACCACTTAGCAACACTGGCCAGGGCCAGTTAGGTGTCTTAATCAGGTAGCTCTCTTTCATCTTTCACCACACCCGCCCCTCCTCTGTCTAGCTTCTCCTTTGGCCACACCCCTTCCTTGCATTCTTCTCATGCTCTGCAGCTGGGGGAAATTACCCAACTGTGCAGATCAGCCCCAGATTAGACTATGGGGGTCCTCAACACCTCCTCTTAAACTTGCCCTGAGCCTCGGCTGGAAGCTGCCTTGCTCTTGGCCTCAATTCCAAGCCCACAGCCCCTCAACTTACCACCCAGGTCCAGCCCCCAACTCTTAGATGACAAGTGCTGACAAATGCATTTCCTATTTCAAGACAGGCCATCCTTTGTAATTTGTAATTTCCTGTGTACCCAGAACAGGTAGCTTCATCTCCCCCATGCTCACCTCCTGCCCTGCCTGTTCAAGGAGCCTGCCTTGCTCAACTCCTCTGGGACAAGAACAATGCCCCACCCATTCGTCCATGCCTGCACCCTTCCATGCTTCCATCTGTCTGTTTATCCGTCCACCCACCAACCCTTTCTTTCTAGTAACTCATTCGGCATCCCCGAGTGCTCAAGACTCCCTCATCCTAAGACATTCCCTAGACCGGTCAGTCCACTGCCTTGGTTCCTCTCACGCCTACACCTACTGTGGTCTGGATTCTTCCCCCATCCACCAAGCCTACAGGCACTAAGGTCATTCATCCCCAGATGACCAAATCCAAGCCCATGTCAATCACGGGATTGGTTTGCCATGCTGACCACTTCCTTTTTCACTCTTGTTCTTGATCACCTTTTGGCCTGTTCTTTCTTTATTTCTTTGATTCTTCCTCCCTTGATGCCTTCCCCTTTACTATGGGGTCTCCACAGCTCGATATTCGACCTTCACATTCCACACACTCCTGCTTACCAACCCCCCAGTACCTCTGACTCTTAAATTGGAGGAAGGGGCAGATCAGGTAGCAGCTGGCAATGAACAGAGCGCTACTCTGTGTCAGGCCTCGTGCAGAGCGCTGGACGTGAATTACTCATTTAATCCGTAAGTCCACGCTACCAACAGGTAATATAATTCCCATTTCTCAGTGCAAAAACTAAGCACACTGAAGTCAAGTAACTTATACACATAGCAAACAGGATCCCAGCCTTGAGTTCTGCTTCAAGCTTGCAATCTTTTGTTGTTGTTGTGTTTTGTTTTTGAGAGGAAGAGAAAGAGAGAGGCAAGGAGAGAGAGAGAGAGAGAGAGAGAGAGAGAGAGAGAGAGAGAGAGATTGATAGGCTGCCTCCTGCATGCCTCCTACTGGGGATTGAGCCTGAAACCCAGGCATATGCCTTGGGAATCAAACCTACAACCTTTCAGTGCAGGGGATGACACCCAACCCACTGAACCACACAGGCCAGCGCAAGCTTATGTTCTTAAATGCTGTGTTACACAGTCTCACTATTGTGGCTGCTAGCTGTACCTGGCCCAAATCCTCTCTGAGCCTGTGTGCCTATTCCCTGGCTGCCCCCTTCCTCAGAAAATGGCTCTCTCTCTCCCTCCCAGGCCACCTCTGCCCAGCAGGTCACAATGGCTGATCGATGCAGGACTAGGAGAGCTGGGCACTTCGCCTCCAGGGAGGACCAATCCTGTGACACCATTTGTGCTCCAGAGCTCCGAGTGGGGTCAGGCTCCTCTGGAGCCCAGACCACATCCTTGCTCAGCTTCTCTCCCGTCTTCTCCTGCTTCCCTTTCCCCTGAGAACGTACCCCTGAGAAACTGCTTGCATAAGAAATTACATCGTGAGCTCCAATTCTGGGGAACCTGACCTAAGTCAGAGGAGTCCAAGCTCTAGAGCAACATACTGAACCACCAATGCACTAGTTGCACTGACTGCCCATAAGCACTGCAGACACATGCCCCACCTAAACTCACCCCTACCTTCCCCCAGCCTGCTTCTCCTGCTCCCACACTTCCCACCTGCATTAACAGGACTGTCCTCCAGGGGCCAGCACTCCAACCTCCATACCCTTTGCCCCCAGGATCCAGTCAGACCCCCACCTTTGCCCATCCTGATTAAACTTCCCTCAGAGCCGCCCGCCCACTGCCCTCCATTCACCGCCCCCCCCCCCATCTCCCACCACCATCTCTCACAGTGACTCTGCAGCAAGTTTCTGCCGTCCTGCCCTCTTGCCCTGCTCCGCAGCCAGTGGCATTTCTAGAATGCAAAACCTTCCACATCTATTGCCTTCAGAATCCTACAGTCCAGATTCCTCCCAGTGCTCTCCAAGGCCCTTTGTGTGGTATGAAACCTTCCATCCATCCCCCATGGTCTCTCTCCTGACACTGTATTTTTTGCCTTCCAGCCCCAAATGTCCTAGGCCAGTGGTCGGCAAACCGCGGCTCTTTGGCCCCTTGAGTGTGGCTCTTCCACAAGATACCACCCGCGCACGTACAGTGCAATTGAAACTTCGTGGCCCATGCGCAGAAGTCGGTTTTCGGCCTGGGCGAGTCTATTTTGAAGAAGTGGCGTTAGAAGAAGTGGGGGGTGGACATATAGAGAGGATGAACGAAAGGAGAGAGACGAAACAGGTATACAAGACCAGTGTGGATGGGAGAGTGGGAAGGGGTCGACCTCGGCGAACGTACCTCAATCAGATTGAGGACGTTTTTAGCAAAGGCCAGCTTAGGAGTCCCCTAATTAAGTTAATAACAGTGTACCTACCTATATAGTTTAAGTTTAAAAAATTTGGCTCTCAAAAGAAATTTCAATCATTGTACTGTTGATATTTGGCTCTGTTGACTAATGAGTTTGCCGGCCACTGCCCTAGGCCATTTCTCACCCCAGTGCTCTCATCCTTGACCACCCTGACTACTCAGCTAGCCATTGGCTTGTGCTTCCGTATTGTGCCTCACCCCCGCCCTGTATGTATACTCCAGGAGAGCAGGACCTTGTGTGCTACCTGGCACTCAGTGTGTGTGTGTGTGTGTGTGTGTGTGTGTGTGTGTGTGTGTGTGAGAGAGAGAGAGAGAGAGAGAGAGAGAGAGAGAGAGAGAGAAAGAGAGAGAGAGAGAGAAAGAGAGAGAGAGAGAGAGAGGAGAAAACAGAATCACTGCTTCCAGGAAGTCCCCTGCAGCCAAAAGCCTCAGATCAGTCCTTTCTCTGAGCACCGCAGGCTTGAGGACTTCCCTGTTGTAACTCCCTGTAGTTGTGTCATGATGTGTAGCAACTGCCACTTACTCTTCTGACTCAGCTGCTGCACAGAACTGCGTTTTCGCCTTTTTAAGTTCTCAGCCCCAGCTCGGAGCTGGGCATCTAACAGGCCTCTTTGATGGGCCATTTTCTATGTCAGAGTGGCCAGACTATGGCACCCAGTTGCTTGGTCAAATGCCAGCCTGGATGTTGCTATGGAGGTTATTCTGTAGATGTCATTTTAAGTAAAGCAGGTAACTCTTGGTGCTGTGGGTGGGCCTCACCTCATCAGTTGAAGGGCTTAAGAGCAAAAACTGGGCTTTCCCAGAAGAAGAATTCTGCCTTCAGACTGCAGCATAGAAAGCCTGCTTGGCTGTCCAGCCGGCTGGCTGGCCCTACAGATTTTGGACTCAGAATTGCCACATCAATTCTCACCTGAACTTCCAGCCTGCCTTACCGATTTTGGACTTGCCAGTCCCACAATTCCGTGCACCAATTCCTTAAAATAAATCATGCCCTGATACAGCCTCCATCGATAAATGTACTTTAAACCTAATTCTTAAGGACAGACAGACAGACCTGGGGAGAGGACTTCTCAGAAGAAGGAACATTTGTACCTTTTGACCCAAAAGTCCAGATTTCCTCATCGTCGAAGTGAGTGTCCCCGGAGATGGGATGTTCCCCGGGGAAGAAGGCGTGGGCGAGGGTCCCCCCCTGCCCGTCGAAAGGGTAACTGTCCTGGTGGTAGGCCCGGACAAAGTCGATGAGGATGTCAGCCTCCGGTGGGCCCTGAGAACCCACCTCCCGGAATTTGAGGCCTGACTCAATACCCCAGGCTGCCAAGGCATGGTGCATGAGCGTCCGCACAGTCTCCTGGCTCAGTGCAGAGCTCCGGGGGAAGGAGTGTACCCTGGGGAAAGAGGAGTGGAGGGTGAGGATAGCCTGGGACACAGAGACTAGGGCCCAGCAGGCCAGCCCAGGGTGGGGTAGGCACCAGGACCTACCTCCACGTCAGGGTTCGCTTCTTCCAAATACCGCCGCTCAGGGCATAGCGCCGGCGCCGCCGCCTAACCAGCTCTGCCACCCCCAGCACGTCGGGCAGAGAGCAGCGGGGCTTGTGCATGGTGGCCATCGTCGCTGGGTCTGTGGGACAGGTTGGGGGAGCGGGATCAGCAGAAGGACAACCTGCCCTCCCGAATCATGGTACCAGCTAACTGTCCACATGGGGAAACAGGTTCAGGGAGATGAAGAACTTGCCCCTGCTTGGATTTGAACCCAGACAGTCTGACTGTAAGCCAGCTCATCCACACCAGCACCTGGCCCTGGAGGGCGTGGCTGCCTCCAGGGGGTGCTCAGAGCTCAGGCAGGGAGCTTCCCTGAGCCCTGGCAATTGGGCTCAAGGAAGGAGCCCTGGGGGTGCCATGCAAACTCCCCTCTCTGAGTCTGGGAACCCCTAGGAGGGTGCCCACACCCCACACTCCACACCAGAGGTCCAAGACCCTATCGTGATAAAGTCCGGAGTCCCCATGCCGATTGGGTCTCTGGTTTCCTGTGACTAACCACCCACTCCTGGGTTAGAGCTGCCTGGAATCCCCTTTTCCAGCTGAGCTCAATTCCCAGCAGTCTCCTCCTCCTCAACAGAAGGTCAAACCTCATCTCGATGGTTGAGGTCACAATGTGTAATTGAGCCCATGCAGATGCCAAGCAGGGCAGGGGAAGACCCTGCCTTCCCTCGCAGCCAGCCAGGAACCCACCAGTTCTCTCTTCTTCCCCATTTAACCCAACAGATGAGCTGCTCAGCTCTCCCTCCAAAGTGTGCACTCTGGCTTCAACCACTTCTCATCACACCTCCCACCATCAGCCCTGGCCTGGACCCTGCATAACCTCCTCGCTGGCCTCCGTGTTCTCCACCCACCACTCTCCATCGGCAACCAAAGGAAATGTAAAACTGCAAAGTAGACCAAGTTGCCTTCCTCCTTCGGACCTTTCCGTGGTTTTTACCGTGATTTGGAATCCAACCCAAACGCCTTTCAAGCCTCCTCCCACCAGGCATTTGCTTAGCTCCTTACTCCTCTCTCATCACAGCTGCACAGCCTGTGCCTGCCACAGGGCCTTTGCACTGGCCTGGTACCCTCTTCTCCCGCATCTTCCCATGGCGGGCTCCTCCTCGTTGTGTCCTATGCGTTCTCTGGGTTATAGGAATTCCTCTCAACTCACATGACACCTTTCAGAGGACCCTGACCTGACCAGACCAGCCCCTCGGTGCCATTAGCATTTTATTTTCTTCGAAACACCACTATCTGAAATGATCTTGCATATTTCTGTTTCTGATCTCTTAGAATGTATCTGTCTCTAGAAGTTTAGCTCTAGGAGAGCAGGGACTTATCTACTTTGTTCACTGCTGTAGGAGCGGAGCCTGAAATGGCCTCTCATGTAAGAGATTCTCAATACATATGCATTGAAGGAGAATGCTTGGCAATTCCTTGGGTTAGGACCTGAGATCAGCATTGTCATACCCCCCATGATTCAGTGCGTGCTGCGGTTTAAGAACAGCTGGGTAACGGCCAGGCTGGGTGGGGAAGCAGGGCTGGGGACACCTACCCAGGAGACCGGTCTCAGGCAGCCCAGCAAACCTCTGCATCACCTTGATGGCATCCCGGAGCTTTTCAGGGCTCCGCAGCTGGGCCTGGGCTGGGTCGGGCGGTGGCAGGTAGCCATAGCGGGTCAGCCAGTCCTGGGCCGGAGAAGTGAGCAGGTGAATCGGGAGGGCGGCGGCGATGGGACCTGCCTCCCCACCGCCTTCTGAAAGCCTCACCTCTCACCAGTTAGGAACCCAGGGCTCCCCTCTCCCGGGCCTGCCCTCCAGCCCTGGGTTTGCAGTCTTCATCTAGACCCGAGTCCTGGTCCCCACCTCCCCGCCCCCCCGCCCATTCCAATCTTCAAATCCCGGTCGCAAACCTGACGTTTCCAACAATCCGGTTCCCCGCCCCCAGTCACTCCGTGGACGTTTGAATCAGCCCTCAGCCTGACCTAGGCGTCCGGCACCAGCTTCCCTCTGCCCGCGCCCCTGCAGATCCCAGAGGCCGGGGACCCCACTCACCAAGCCCAGGCTCACGTCCTGCGCCGCGGGCTCCGGGGCGAGCGCGGGCAGCGGCGGCGGCTGGAGCAGCACCAGGAGCAGCAGCACCGGGAGCCGGAGCATCGCGCGCTCCTGCCCGGGCAACGTGGGGCTCCGGGGGGCCCGACCCGAGCCGCCCGGGGCGTCGGGGGAGGAGACCGGAGAGGCTAGGGTGGGGCACCCGGTGCTGGGTAGGAGGGCCGGGCGGGAGGACTGGGGGCCGCACAGGGGTCAAGGGCCCGGGGCAGCACGGAGCAGGGGCGTGTGGCGTCCAGCGGAGGGTCCAGGGGCGCTGGGTCTGCTGCGACGGCTTCGAGGGGTCCCCGCCGGTCCTGTGCCGGCGCCGCACGGCACTGGCGGCCCCTCCCTCGGAGGGGGGCGGGCGCACCCCGATAAGCGGTGAGGGTGCGGCCGGGAAATGGCCCAATTTTCGGACCTCCAGCGAGAAGGGGCGGGCCAGGTGGTGACCCGGTCCCCGGCCAGGACCTAGTGACCCTCCTTCGAGCTCTGGGCGGGTCCGGGTTGGGGGGGGCGGAGCGCGGGGGGCGAGGCGCCCCGGCCGCAAGTTTCTCTTCCCAGGTCCCGGAGCCGGTGGGACTCCGGGGACGCGGCTCACTTCTGCTTTCTCAGGCCCGCGGCTGCACGGGAAGGGGCGGCTCCGAGTCCCCCCACCGCCGCTCCTCCGCCCTCCCCCCCCTCCCCTCCCTCCCCTCCCCCAGCTGTCGCTCCCGGAGACCCTGCGCCCGGAGGCGGGCGGAGCGCCGGGTGGTTCCGGGCGCGAGAAGGTGGATGATGCTTCTGTCTCCGCGGTCCCGGCGCCCCAGGCGTGTCGCCGCCGGTGCTCCCTGTGCCCGGGCGGCGCCTGCGGTCCCGGGTTCGTCCCCCGCAACCGCCTGTGCCGCGCGGTCTCAGCCTCCGCACGCGGGGTCCAGGCACCTCCGATTCCCAGACCCGGAGCTGCCCGGACCGCGCGCTTTCTCCGCCGACGGGCGACCTTGCAGCCCAGGAACGTCCGCGGAAGGGCTGGAGCGCCTGCAGCGGCCGGGAGCGCGAGGGAAGCAGATCCCAGAGGCAGAGATTGGGGGCCCGTAGAACCCCGCCTCGCCCTCGCCATGCCGCCCGCGGAGCCCAGGGCCGGGAGGCCAGGCAGCTAGAGACGAATTAAGAGGAACCGTGGGCACCTGGCCGGTGCGGGACCGGTGCGAGGGACCCAGCTCTGTCTCTGGAGCAGGGCAGCCCCAGGACCCAGGGGTGGTTTAGACAAAGAGCAAGCAGGATAGCGAGCCGGGGGTACAAGCTAAGGCACCGAGCTCCCGCGTGCGTCCTCTGGGCTGCCATAGCGGGCTATTGCAGACCGGGTGGCATGAGCAACAGACATCATGTTCGCACAGTCCTGGAAGCTGAAGTCCAAGATGAAGGAGCGGGCAAGGCTGGTTTCTCCGACCATTTCAAGGCCTCTCTGCTTAGCTTGGAAGTGGCAGCTTCTTCCCTGTGTCCTCACATGGTCTTTCCTCTGTAGCCCATGTAGCCCAGATGCCTGTGTGTGTCCACATGTCCTCTTCCTTGCACACACACACACACACACACACACACACACACACAACACCTGTCAAGCCCAGCCCCGGTGGCTCAGTGGTTGAGCATGACCAGGAGGTCACTGGTTTGATTCCCTGTCAGGGCACATGCCCAGGATGTGGGCTCGATCCCCAGTAAGGCGTGCAGGAGGCAACCAATCAAAGATTCTCTCTCATCATTGATGTTTCTACCTCTCTCTCTCTCTCTCTCTCCCTCTCCCTTTCTCTCTCTGAAATCAATAAAAATACATATTAAAAAAAAAAAAAAGATGCCAGTCAAGCCCTGGCGAGTGTGGCTCAGTGCTTAGGTCATGGGTTCATTTGGGGGGAGGGGGGTGCATTCAGGTGGCAAACAATGTGTCTCTCTCACATCTATGTTTCTCTCTCTCTCCCTCCCTCCCTCCCTCCCTCCTTCCACTCTATCTGAAAATCAATGGAAAAAATATCCTTGGGTGAGGATTAACAACAACAACAAAGACACCTAAAGGTTAAAAAAAAAAAGGCACCAGCCAGTCAGATAAGGATCCACCCTAATGGCCTCCTTTAGCCTTACTCACCTCTGTAAAGCCCTGCCTTCAAATACAGTCACAGCCTGAGGTCCTGGGTGGGGGGTTGGGAGGGCACAGTTCAGCCTGTTACAGATGCCACCCTCCTCCTGGGCGTTTCCCCTCCACTCTCACTACGGCCACACTGCCAACGCCTCTGACAGCAGCTGTGTGGGTTCCTCCCCACGCCAAGTAATTCTCTGACACCAGCTCAGTGTCCTAAAACTCACTTCCAACACTAACCAGAGCTAGCACATACCCCACAGGCTAAGGGCTCAGTCCCAGGAGACTGCCCCCATTTTCAGATGCCAATTGCAGACAGTGGGACCAAGTTTAAACACAATTTCTATTGACTTGACTACAATGCGTAGGTTCCTGTGACCACCACACATTATTTGCTAGAACAGCTCACAGAACTCAGGGAAATATAATAAAAGATACAGCCCTAACCGGTTTGGCCCAGTGGATAGAGCGTTGGCCTGCGGACTCAAGGGTCCCAGGTTTGATTCCGGTCAAGGGCATGTACCTTGGTTGCGGGCACATACCCAGTTGGGAGGTGTGCAGGAGGCAGCTGATGTTTCTCTCTCATCGATGTTTCTAACTCTCTATCCCTCTCCATTCCTCTCTGTAAAAAATTAATAAAATATATTTAAAAATTATAAAAGATACAGATAAACAGCCAGACACATCGGGTGAGATCTGGAAGGGTCCCAACCCAGCACAAGAGCTGCTGTCCATGTAGAGTTGGGGCGCCACCCTCCCGACATGTCAATGCTCACCAACCCTGAAGCTCTCTGAACCCCATACTTCTGGGATTTTTATGGTGGCTCATCGCAACGGCATGACCAGTTACTAACTCAATCCCTCTCCCCTCTCCCCTTCCTGAAACGTGAGCTGTGGGGCTCAAAGTTCCAAGATGCTAATCATGGTCTTCCGGGTGACCAGCCCCCATCCCGGAGGTATCAGGAGCCCCCTCAAAGTCGCCTCATTAGAACAAAAGACACTCCTCTATGACCCAGGAGATCCCCAGGGATTTAGAGCCCTATGTCAGGAACTGGGGGAGAGACCAAATAGAGCCAAAGATGCCCTTAGTGCTCTCATCACTTAGGAAATTAAAAGGGTTTTAGGAAGTCTGTGCCAGGAACTAGGAGCAGAGACCAATACAAATATTTTCTATTATTTCACAGCCCACCTCCTGGCCTCTGGCCACAGAACACTGACAGCAAAATGATGTACGACTCAAAAGATATTGGCACATTGCTAGAACCCCACACAGTCATTAGTATTCATTTCAGTCAGTCATCATATCATATGAAAACGTCCGCCAGAACGAGGCCACTCAGGTTGCAGGCTTCCATTCAATCTAGCAAAAGCCAAGGTTCCAAAAGCAGAAGTGGTCCCAGCAAACATGAGTACACCCTCTCAGGCATCTGATATGATCGTGCTAAGACACGATATCATCTCTTGCTCTGAGCTTCTTTCGAAGTTTTAATGTAATACTGGTCTCTCATTACATAACCCATTTGTTCATAACTTTTCCCTTAGCTCAGCGCATCTCAACCTATGGGTCATGACCCCTTTGGTGGTCGAACGACCCTTTCACAGGGGTCGCCTAAGACCATCCTGCATATCAGATATTTACATTATGATTCATAACAGTAGCAACATTACAGTTTTGAAGTAGCAACGAAAATAAATTTTATGGTTGGGTCACAACATGAGGAACTGTATTTAAAGGGCCAGAAGGTTGAGAACCACTGCCTTAGCTGCTGTTTCTCCTCTTTATTTATGCCCAGACTCTTACACTGTTGGAAGAGACATTAGGTTTGGCCGTTGTGCTGGCCTAGATTGCAGCAGCAACACTAGTCTAGCAAGTGCCTCCCCTTCGATCCACTCCTGTTCACGTGGGGTGAGGCTACACCGGTGCAGACCTTGTGAGCCGTTCTTATCACCAGGTATGCAGCTGCATTCACTGTGAACACCAGTTTTGGCAGATGGAGCAGATGAAGGCACATCTTGCTCCACCAGGCCCTTAGGAATTCTCTCATAAGGTTTAAAATATAGTTGCAAACTCTTATTGAGGAATCATTGCTGTTTCAGGCACTTGCATTTGCAGCCCTGGTTATACGACCACTGAATCAGGTATGAAAAAACAGCTGAAACCGGTTTGGCTCAGTGGATAGAGCGTCGGCCTGCGGACTGAAAGGTCCCAGGTTTGATTCCGGTCAAGGGCATGTACCTGGGTTGCGGGCACATCCCCAGTGGGAGATGTGCAGGAGGCAGCTGATCGATGCTTCTCTCTCATCGATGTTTCTAACTCTCTATCTCTCTCCCTTCCTCTGGTAAAAAATCAATAAAAATATATAAAAGAAAAAACCAGTTAAGGTGATGTGGGAAAGAAGAAAGAAAAAGGTTGAGTCGTTATACCACCATCTTCTCCTCTTGGGAGGAATGGCAGTGTCTTACCAGCATAATTCTCCCCCCCTTCCCCCAGATCCAGTGGGGAAACCCCTTTAGCCCCACTCATGTTCCTGCTGAGTGTGAGCACACACTCATGAAGGTGTGTAAGCCTTTATCTCCTTTCATTTTAGACAATAAATGTTTCTATTGCCCCTCCCAATTCTCTATCAAATAGAACTCTGAGAAGGACATCTCTGCCCATTGCTGGACATCAGGGCTATAAAGTGTGGTCCTGGCCTGAAGAAACGACAATTGGCCATAATAATCGGTGCACTCTCTTCTGTTCTGTTCTGTTGTTGTTGTTAATCCTCCCCCAAGGATATTTTTCCATTGATTTTCAGAGAGAGTGGAAGGGAGAGGGAGAGACAGAGGGAGAAACATTGATGTCAGAAAGACACATCGATTGGTTACCTCCCATACACGCCCCACCAGGGCTAGGAATTGAGCCTGCAACAGAGGTATGTGCCCTTGACGGGAATCGAACCCGGGACTCTTCAGGCCACAGCTGACGCTCTATCCACTAAGCCAAACCAGCTAGGGCTGTTCTGGTGCGTGTGTTTTTTTTAATAACATCTGAGCATTTGCATCTATCGCTGAGTAAGCAAAGCCCAGTCCAAACTCAGTGTCTGTTCTGATCAGGACCCATCTTTAACCCACTAGGGCCACCAGCATCACTCTGACTCACCAGCTATGATCAAAGCCTTTGCCCCAGGGAGTTTGCCCCAGAGCCACTGCCGTCTTCCTGTACGCTTAGTTTATGGGGAGCACACAGAGATATCTGCTGGCTGATTCTAATCGTCAAGTCTGGAATGGGGTTCTTCAGATGGACATCTGCATGTCCTACTTTATTCACTCCACGGGGACCGAGTTTCCACTGCCCGCCTGCCTGCTCAGATGGCCAGGCCCTTGGTCACTACCCATGAGTTGGTAGAAACAAAAACATA